TCCCATTGTTTTGATGCTCACTTTGCCTTCACCAGAGCAACAGAAAGGCAATTGAGGAGTGGAAGGGAAGGGGCCAGAGAGAAAGACTATAGAATTTTATTTTATTTTTTAGAACGCTGGGGGGGGGGGGGATGCAGAGAATTTGGCTCAGAAGCAGATGGAAATAATATTAGCCAGAAATTTAATCAAGGAACCTTTGGAAAGGACTGAAGTGGTCGTGGGGAGAGAAACAAGCACCAGTCACAGGTAAGAAGCTGACTGAGAGATTTAAAAAAATCAGGAAAGGCCGAGGTGGAGAGGCTAACCTCACACACAACAATGAAGTCAAGGAAAAGGACAAAATACACAGGCCTGGGGAACTGGGCACAGACAACAGTAGACCTAGATCAGTGTTTCCCAACCTTGTGCCTCCAGCTGTTTTTGAACTACAACTCCCATCATCCCTGACTAGCAAGACCAGTGGCAAGGGATGATGGGAATTGTAGTCCAAAAACAGCTGGAGGCACAAGGTTGGGAAACACTGACCTAGATCAAATGGTCTGCTCCAAGCAAAGACAGGAAATGAACTGAGGCCTCAAAGAGAAGGAAAGGCAACAATTTCATTCTAAGTTATAGAGTTTCTTTCCTTTGAGCAGTAGGGGGAGCTAAGCCTATAGGAAGAAATTCAACACCCAAGGGAGAAAAAACACATTACAACAAATGCTCCTAAAAATAGAACGTTTCACAATTTACACTTTAGTCATCTATGTGATGGTTCTTGGATCTTTCTGTCCCAAAGAAAGCTGAAAAGGCTTCCTCCCGGAGCATTTTTAAAACAGACCTGCAAATTTCAAACAAGGTTACAGGAGAGTAGTGGCTGCAAGCATTTTATACATCCAATTGGCATTGCTAGTATTCTGTGAGAAGCAATAGCCTTGTAACCCCAACTATTTTTATTTCTTTAATTTGGATGATGGAAATTGCAGGGTGTGTGTGTAATATTTCTGTCATGCTCCCTTTGTGCATAAATTACCAAAGACAATGTAAGAAGATCCATGAAATACATTTATACGGGACAGGACAGGTGACAGACAAGTGAAAGAAAAACAAAAAAAAAGTTTAAAGAAGCAACAAACTTCTTGACATTTATCTCAAGCAAATCAGAATCTCCAAGAATCAGCTTGTAAATTGCTGTTATCTCCCATAATGAGTTCTTCTCAATTAGAAGTACTAAAAATGATTCCAAGAATTAATCAGAATTATTGTGTCTAGACTGTTGTGAACAATATTATCTGTCTAGACAGCCTTGCTTATAATGCAATTGTGCTTGTACCATAACTACTTTTACTCTGAGATTTAGACTTCCGAATTCTAGCTCATATCAAAATATAAACCAGCAGTGTCTTAAAACATTAGCACTAGAAAGAAATATTTACATTTGTTAAGATCTTTTAAAATATATAATGCTACTATTCTTAAAGAATGTGATGTACTGACAAATATTTGTTTTCATGCAGCAAGCGTACCATCGAAGAGCACTTAATTTTCATAGATTATAAAGGCTTTGATAATGCATATCTTTGCCTAATGCTTCCTAGCTTTATAGTTGGATATAATTTTAATGAAAACATGACACTATTAAAAAGCCATTAGCCACAGAGCTGAATTTCTCTTTGATTTTGTTCACAAACCAAAGACATTAAAGATACTGTTTAAAAGAATAATTTTAAAAATCAAAACTACTCTATTAAAGCATCTATTTGACCTGACTTGGGGTTACTTATTTTTAAACATTATTTTTTCACTATTAGATGCATTTATAGCAAAAAGCAGATTCCCAGCAGATTGACATTGGATGAACTCCTCAATGCAAAGCTTTGGGATGGCTTCCCTAAACGGTGACTGATGCTACCATGCTACCAAAATGTGGAAGATTTGGCTTAACAACCCTTCCAGATATTTAGGGGTGTGTGTGTGTGTGTGTATGTACACACATACAGTGAGCCTGCCACTTATGTGAGTGTTTGGTTCTGGGGGTCTGCATGCAAAGATAACATTGTGAAAAGTCAGGAACCCGTAGAACCGCCCCGTCCCACAATGTGGAGTGCTGCTTACTGGGGCCTGGGAAGATCGTAGGAGGGCCCTGAGAACTTCTCAAAGCCTTCCTGTGAATATCCCAGAGCCCGGAAGCATGAAGGCATCTTCCTTAACAGGCTCTGCGATACTACCAGAGCCCTCGCACTGCCTTCCCAAAGCACAGTAAGCAAGGAAAACCCACTGGGTCACTGGTGGTGGGAAAAAATAAATAAGTGGAGAGTAGTGGGTTTCCCCCATTTTTTTATTTACTTATTCATCTCCCATCATGTGTAAGGTTGCAATTGCTTAAGTAAAGCAAGCACAAGTTGTGGGCTTACTGTACACACACACACACACACACACACACACACCTTTGTTTTTTGTTTACAAATTCTGCTGCCACCATAAAATCTTTAATAATATTTTATCTTGTCCACTTTATATGTAATTCATTGAAACTTATTTTTTCTTTCTTTTATTATAAACCACCCTTGGGACTGTAGTATAAGGTGATGATTGAATAATGGAATGAACATGCACAGGTGTTTTAAAATGTTAAATGAATATATTTGCATTTATTAAACTCTTTGTTTATATAGGGTGAGATTCAATGAAGCCCAAGTTGTCATCCACTCATGCAATGGGGCCTCTACTTACTTTTCTCTTTGCTGAACTGCACTGCAAGTGCCTATGATCAGCTCTGGAAAGTTGGTGAACCCTCCAGAGCAGATATGGGGTGCAAGAGGGCGCTGCAAGTGGGTGAGAAGAGAAACTGAAGACCCATTGCACATGCAGACAAACAGCACTGGATGTTGCCCATACAATATATATTAATAGACTAGATGACCACAGAGACTAGGGCTTGCCGATCAGAAAGTCGGTGGTTCGAATCCCTGCGACGGGATGAGCTCCTGTTGTTCAGTCCCTGCTCCTGCCAACCTAGCAGTTTGAAAGCACGTCAAGTGCAAGTAGATAAATAGGTACCGCTCTGGTGGGAAGGTAAACAGTGTTTCCGTGCGCTGCTCTGGTTTGTCAGAAGCTGCTTAGTCATGCTGGCCACATGACTCAGAAAAAGTGCCTGCTGACAAACGCCAGCTCCCTCAACCAGTAAAGAGAGATGAGTGCCGCAACCCCAGAGTCATCTGTGACTGGACCTAATGGTCAGACGGCCCTTTACCATTACATTTAAACGGTTTCTGATTCAAATTTGTACTATTATATTAAGGAATCGGTTATATTCTTATCTCAGTTTATTGTCCTGATTAAAATCCCAGAAATGCTAAAGGACAAGACTTGAAGCTCTCTCTCTGGATGGGCCGGCTCACCCAAGAGGCAGGCTGAGTCAGTCGCCTCAGGTGGTAGAACACTATGAGGCAGTGTCCCTGCCCACCCTGCCATTAGTGGAGAAGCAGCAGTGGCCACTCCAATATCACCAGAAACTGCCATCACCACTGCTGTTTAGTGGGCACCACCACATGGCCCAGGTAGAAGAGGTGGCGGCGGCATGGCAACAACATCTTCACATTTCGGACTGCACCTGCTCTCTGATTCAGTACTTAATGGAAAGATACAGGGCTCTGGCAAGTTTCCTTCGGCTTCTCCTGAAGTTTGTCTTTGGGTCAGGTCATACATGTGTCTCGTCTTAAGCCTTATTGTTTCCTCAGGCCAAATGCCTCCTGCTGTCACTCTCATACCTTCTGCCTTCCTTTCATCTCAACTCCTGTTCCTCTGCCAGCTACTTCCTCAGGCTCTTTTCTGCCTGAACTGTTCACAGTGCCCATGCAGGCCACACATTGATCCTTAGCAATTCTGGGAGTGTGCTTTTATACAATTTCAGACCTTTCACCAACAATCACTTCTATTATCTGACATCCCATTGGTTTATAACTATGAGTCAATGTGAGCCAGCAGAATGTTAATTAACTGGCTTTTCATAACGTGACCTTTTGAATCCTCCTATCTTGTATAAATGCTGACAGGTTTAACTATGAACCACAAAGGCCTATAACAGCTTCTTTGTATATGCAGCAACTGACAGCAAGCTGCATATAACCGCTTACACTTACCTACTTCTAAATACAATATTACACACTCACACATTTATCACCATATTACTTTCTGCTCTCCATATTTTCATAGCATTTTTTTAAAAAAAGCTCAGTCTTTGTCAATTCTCCATACTATATAGTCAGTAAAACAGAAGACTCTTGATCTCAGGGTCGTGGATTTGAACCTGTTATTGTGCTTCTAGCACACTCTTGTAGTTCTATCACACAGAAGCGAAAATATATTTCATGCATTTATTTATGTATACAATAAAATGCATTGTGGTACTCTTTCAGTGTGATCAGTCCCAGTGCCATAGTCTTAGAAAATCAAGGCTGTTTAAAACAACAAAGAATACTCAAGGAAGTAGAAGCAGTTAGTTCCTAGGAAGCTATTTTTCAAAATGAAGAATCACGAGGATGAAGGAGGTGGTTTTCTTGATTACTTGATTCCCTGGTTAAAAGAATACTGCTAAGAAATTTTGGTTTGCTGCTATGTATGACTGAGCTGATATCAATCTCCATGAAGGCAAAATAGACTGTGTGTGCGCATAAACAAAGCAAGTTATCACAATTTTGAAACAGCAATTCAAACACCATGCTTGTTTTATCTCTTCAGATGGGTTTTATTTGTCTAAAAAAGCATTAACACTGTTACTTGTAAAACTGTGTATTCCTGCAAAATAACACTAGCTGGCTTACAGCATCATCTTATAAATGAATGTTCAGGGGGGAAAACTTTTCTGGAAGTAAGTGTGTATAGGACCTGCAGCCTTAGTACACATTTCCATTTGTAGGGTTGGGTTTAACACACAAAAATAAATGAATTCTATATGTTAGTACACACACAAATAAAAAAAAGTGTTTAGAAAACTCTTCATTATTAGGATAGTTTTTTGAAAATGTGAAAGATACTTACGTTGGTTTTACAGTCTGGGAATGTTTCTCATGAATGAAAGCACCGGCTAGACCTCCTGCTCCCGAATTGAGGTACTGTAAGATAGAAGTCAGCATTTACATATATTTTTAGTTTTATCATGCATGATAGCATAACTGACCTCTCTTTGGAAACTGCAGACTGACTTTGATTTAAGTATAATGTGAGCGAGTGTGAATCAGTAAGGAAAGTGTTCCTTAAAACAGCTTTATATTTTAAATTGCATAGCTTCTTGTAATACTGGCTAAGAGCACATAAAGTGGTTTCTTCAGATGATGCTCCATATTAGTGGATTTCCGTTTTCCTACAATCTTGCAGAACCTTCAGCATATTTTGAAAGCGTTTCTTCATGACCATCTTCTGAATTGCCAACTGTTGAGGGCAAAGCTGTACTGAAGCAGTTTACCTAGCTTACATGTATTTAAAATGTAACACATATAACACAGGTTTATATGAAACAAATAATGAACAGTTCTCTTCAGTCTTTAACCAACTGTTCTGTTTGGCTGCTTTTGCAATATCTGTTGATTTTTAACTGTATTACAAATACTCCAGAATACTAAAGACATTCTCACCTTATAGGAACACCAGCAGGCAAAGTCTACTCCCATTCGTGTAAATGCAGTTCTACGTTGCCTACAGCATGAGCCAGGTCAAATCCAACAAAGCAGCCCTTATGGACAAAGAAGTGATTTTAAGTTTGCTTTGTATATACAGAAATCATTATTTCCATGCAATGTAATGGTTGGAAAGCCAAAAAAACCACAAAAAGACAACAATGGGTGCATCTGCCTTGAAATGATGCAAGAAGCATCATGACCCTTCCACAACTATGCTCTGCACAACGCTATTGTAATAGGACTGCTAGCTGTGACCCGAAAAATATGTGACACAACCACCAGTATACCAAAACCATTCAACTCCAGGACTCATGAAAGCAAATGCAACTCACAACCTAGATGGGGCCTGCCTGGCACTACAGACTTCCTGTCAGCTCTTCTGTGGTCCCAGGCTCCCTCTCCCCTCAGTCACAGGCACATAAGCAAGCAAGGGTGGGTGGGCTGGATTTACTTTGGTAGGATCAAATATTGTACATGCCTAGAACATGCTCTTTTCCTACCTGAGAATGCTAGTTGTGGGAAACATACCTGAACCCCCAGCAAAGAACAACTGCACCTTGATTAAACAACAGCATGACCCTTTGGGAAATCTCAAGTATGTTGTTTGTTGGCAATGATGAACTCAGCCGCATTTACATCTGAGTAGATATGCATAGGATTGCTCTGTCATCTACTGTAGTTCCATACTATGGAAAAAAGCTCCCCACAACTGGAAGCAAGCGAAGAAGCAGGTTCTCAAAATCTAATGAGGATTTCTGAGGGAAGGCAGGCTCTACAGGGCCTTACGTGCATTTTGTTGTGAAACTCCAAGAAAATACTAGAAATGCATGCATAGAAATTACCACTTGATGGCAGCATTTTTAAAGTAAGGAATAATACAAAAATTAGTATTATAAAGCTGCAGTATTCATGAAACTGAAGAAAAACGATGGTACATTTTGTGCATGGACTACAAATTAAAGAATATTTTACTCCCCCCCCCCCAAAAAAAAGGTCTCTTTATAAGCAAGGTGTGAAAATGAATAGCGAGGGCATAAATTCCTGTATCTTTACCTAAAAATAACACGAAAGCTTGAGACTATTGAGTTCTTTCTTATGCTCCATCTAAATTATTAAAACAATACTTCGGTATATTAAATCTCCTCTAAACTATGTAGCTCTCAGAAAGTAATTGCATTTATAAGTGTGATGTGCTAATTCTAATGAAAGCCACTAATGAGGCTGTCAGCCTATAAAATTCTTTCAAAATGAAGGGATGAACTTGTAGGCCCCATCACTTGTCAAATGTAGCTAGAAATGATGGATTAAAAAAAACTATATAAGGGGTGGGCAAAAGGGAGAGAATATTCTATTGACAGATTGCTAAGATTCTTGCAAAGAATCTGGACAGGGCAAGCATGATTTGAACTGGGAAGACATTTTGTATGTGATTTTGCAAGAAGGTGTACTCAGGAGGATAACCTAATGAAAGTTAATTATGGCTTAACTATGGATAGAAGCTGAGTAAGTGTTACACATTTAAAACATGTTGGTGTGAAATTACAAGGCAGATAAAGGCAGATATCATCTCGTGACTAGGTAACATACTGACTGAAAGTACTTGTTCTTCCTCTTTCACAGCTTCTTATCATATGCAACTATGTAAATGAATCATCACACATAACATCACAGCAAACAAGACTTCTTTTCAATAGAGTTAGTACAGTGACCTGTTTCACAGAAGCTTGTAGCCAATGCAGTGCTGAGTGTCCCATCAGCACAAGGATTTACACTTGTGCAACAAGACTTTCTCTCCCTCTCCTACGCCCCACACAAACTGCTCCCTCCCAACATCTGCTCCAGAGGGTTTGGGGAAACCCCAGTACAGTTACAGGGGGTGTAAGGGGCCGGGGGGCGGCGGGTAGAAGGGGAAATCCTACTACAGTGGTACCTCAGGTTAAGTACTTAATTCGTTCCGGAGGTCCGTACTTAACCTGAAACTGTTCTTAACCTGAAGTACCACTTTAAACTAATGGGGCCTCCTGCTGCTGCCGTGCCGCCGGAGTCCGATTTCTGTTCTTATCCTGAAGCAAAGTTCTTAACCTGAAGCACTATTTCTGGGTTAGCGGAGTGTGTAACCTGAAGCGTATGTAACCCGAGGTACCACTGTACACAAGTGTAAATCCTTGTGCTGACAGAATGCTTACTTGGTGCTGTGTTAGATGCAAGTGACACAATTCTAACTCAACTGCATTGGCTGCCAATTAGACTCTGGGCCCAATTCAAAGTGCTGCTTTTGACCTATAAAACATTAAATGGCTCAGGATATTAATATCTCAAGGACCGGCTTTGCCCATAGGACCTGAACCAGACGCTGCAATAATTCTGAGAGGCCTGGAGGGCAGCAATACAAGAAAGGGCCTTTTATGCCGTGGCTCCCCATTTGTGGAATGCTCTCCCCAGGGTGGCTTGCTGGGAGACTTCATTTCATATCTTTATCTGCCAGGCATAAAGTTTATCTATAACTAGGCCTTTGACTAAGTGAACATTTCATGGACTTTTAAATGTGTTTGTGGGAAGGGGTTATTGGTTGGTGGTTTTCTTATTATGTATTTTGCATTCTCATTTTGTATTTTTATATTGTGCTCTGCGCTGTGATCCTTGGCAGAAGGGCAGTATACAAAGGTAATAAACAAAATAATAATAAATAATGCTAAACTATAGTTTAGCACTATGTGAAAGGGCAGAAGTAAGGCTTGCACAGAAGCAAGCTCTCTTTATACAGCTATAATTTAAACCCAATCTGGCTATATGCACGGTAAGGAGAAAGTGGATAAAGAAAAGCTTTTCTGCCTCTCGCGTAACACTAGAACTTGGGGCCATCCAATGAACCTGAATGCCGGAAGATTCGGGACAGGCAGAAATAAAGTACTTCTTCACACCATGCATACCAAAACTGTGGGCTTCATTCAAAATCTTCCCTCACTCTAATCCTGCCCCCTGATCTTGAACTCAGTTGCTTCAGAGTAAGTCCAGATCTGACCATCAAGTGAGAAGTCAGCTGAGAGCACAGATCAATAGTTCTTACAAATATACTTTCTTATCAAGATCCATGTTCCAAAGTCTATTATATACTGGAAAGCTTAGCTGAACTCTCCAGCAGTAGTTAAGGTTTCATTTGCTGAGCTTCTCTAGCTACCATTATCATTTTGCCAACACAGGTTATTGCAGAACTATGCAATATGTATAGTATATGCAAGATTCAATGTATATGTATAAATACTATAAAAGCACAACCTTATAAGAATACTGGAATATACTCTGCTCCTAAAACAAGAAAATCCCTTTGAATAAAACAGTTACACAAAAAGGACTGGTTTGGGGATGACTTATAAAAGGCTTTATGCATTGGAAAGATGAAATGGCTTGTATTGCATGGGTGAAAACATATTAATGCCTCCACAAAAATCCAAAACATCATAACACTCAAGCAATGACTCTCCAAGACAGTTAGCCGTCTGAAGTGGTAATCTTATATACACTTCTTTGTCTCATTTAGCATGTGGCATTTACTTCCAAGTAAACAGTCACATAAGCATTATGTACTTAAGAAAAACTGAGGTGAGGAGATTTCACAAATTACAACACCATCACCTAGCTTCTGTTCATGAATACCAATACAGAAAAGTTGCAGCAAAAACCTCATTGTCCTTTTCAGTATTTTTATCATGTGCCAATGATAAAAGTGTGATTTAGCTATCTGGACACAAATCAATTGATAAGATGCAATGGAGACACTGTGGTCTAGACTTCTTTCCAAATATAGATTTCATTCCAAATATACCCTTATACATGTACTTTCTTCTGATGACATTAGAAGTGTTTTTAATTTTTAATTATATAATTACTCATCTACGTGAATTATCACACCACTTTTAAGACAGACATTGGGAGTGGTGAACATGTTGCCCAAAACCATCCACCTTGCTTTAACCAAATTAAATGAATATAATGAGCAGTTCTCTGAACAGTGAGTTGTTTGAGTTGAGGCCATGTTTGAGGCCTCATTACACATGAATAGTGATGCACCCTACAACCAAACACACTCCACAACCTATTATATGGGCTACAATAGAATGCTTCTTTCAAACCTATCTTCAGCCAGAGGGTGATATCTTGTGGGTACCAGGGAAGGCCTCTGATGACGCATGAGCACCATGACTCATGAGCACCATGTTGGTGACGCTGACAAGGATTAATAGCAGACTCATAATGAATTTGCTAATCCCTATGTTGCCAATATGACACTATTTACAATCTAAAGGGAGGCATGTACCAGAAGAATGAAATGGAGAATCCTAGAGGTAAGTATTGGTATTTGAATGAAACTCTGAACATGAGCAGTCCCATGCAGCATTTTATCGCAGGGCCAGTTTTTATAGTGAACTCATTAATTAATAGTGAACTCGTTTTCCAACCATCCATCCTTATCCTGTCACAAAGGCACCACCCAAAAACAATAAAGAAGCAAAAGCAGACCCAGAAGTACCCCCCCCCCAAAAAAAAAAATATGCAGGGGGAAGCCCTCTAAGGGGCCAAATCACAACCACCACCAAACAGTCCAATGAGGGATGAACAGGCTCAGTTGCCGCATAATGTAGAGAACAACAATAGCAGTAGTACAGTAGTTTAAACTCGTAATTTTCACAAGTAATCAATGTGAAATATTTCTTTTATAAAATATAAAACTGGGAGATAGAGTCATAAGTTTTCTGAAACCATCATTTTTTATTTTTTATTTTTAAAGCTTTCTGAAGGGGTTGGGAAAAAAGCATGTAATATAAAACTGGATTACAAACTCATGACATAGTTAGTGGTTGTGTTTTGGTAAAGAAAAAGCATCCAACCATGCCAGGACAACTATTTTGCAAAATGCTTTCAAACTCATCCTCCACCACCAATCATGGCAGGAATGCATTTTGTGTGCGGGTTCCTTCTTTTATAGTGTGTTTAAAACTTGCTTACAGAAGCAAGTTTTCAAACAATGATTACAAACTTACAAAAGGAAAAAACT